ATAATAATAAAATAAAAATACAAGTGAAAAAAATACAAGCTATTTTAGTACATTCAAACACAATACTTTCATTAAGTGTATTTGTCGGCCGCCACAGAACCGTCACCCACTTTGTTTGAATAAAAACCCCGTCTTCACTGGCGCGCTATGAATTCTGGGATAGGGTAGGCTGCGAAGGATCCATCGGATGTATCCTTCATTTGCCGGAGAAACGGAGAACGCATTTGAAGTGGCGTTCGAATTGCGGCAGCCTTCGTCGCGCTGCCGTGACGTAATCGGCTTTCAAATGGGTCCTTCGGAGGACGTAGCCTATGAATTGGGACACAGCTACAGACCAATCCTTTCAGTCTCTCATTGGTAGCCCTGAGTATACATACGTTACTTCTGTTCATGTTACATTTGATCTTGTGTCTGTAAGGGGTTAGATTATGGTCTATTCATTTCATCCCCTTGGTAGAAAGATGTATATTAAATTCATTGTACGTTTAACAATAGGGAAATATTTAATATTTCCCAGTTTATGTTGCTTTTGGTTATTTTCTAAAATAAAACAATGTACATTTGTGAAGATTGACTGTCACAAGTGGGCAATTTTATTATGTTTTTACTGCTGTGAGACTAAAAAAAGAGATGTATAATTTCAGATCCCGATAAATGTTAATAACCGAGCATTAAACATATTTTTAATGAGAGGATGACATTTTCCAGTATTTCATATAGTGGTGTAAATGTTTGATCTGAATGCTCACAGTGAGTACATGTATGAAACCTCTCAAATAAAAGTATTCAAACTTTAAAAAAACAAACAAAACAAAAAACTCTTAGAAAGATTAAATCTGGCTCAAACAACAGCTGAATATAGAAATCACAATAAACATTATAAAATAACCAAAATATAAAATTATACAAATTAAACTAATCAAAAGTATCTTAAGTAAATAAGTGCTGAAGTACACAAGCGTCATCTAGTGGAGATGGATATCATCAACTCAGATACCCTTTGCGACAGAAAATAGAAACTTTGATGCAGCAAATACACAGGATGTGAGGCCTAGGTGTGAAAACAAGATTAGATGAAGCTTCTTAGAAATAACTTTGCTTCTCTTGCTACTGACATTATCATTGTTTATCTGCAGGATCACAATATGATTATATCAGGTCTTAGATATACAGTGAGCTGCGTATGCTAATTAATGTTTCACAGACACAAAGTACAGTATATGGTATTTTCATATTTCTCAATCACACAGTAAGATCTCACAGTTTGATTTGAGATTGTTTGTCAAACAGCAACATTTGATTCAGTACTTTATTCCACAGTAAAACTGTTTTGTATAAAAAAAGGAATTCAAACAATGACATTTATATTAGCAGAACATAAAAAGAAGACAAAGCAAACACACGTGAACTACAAACGTCCAGTAATAGACACACTCTCGTGCACAAGCTGTTTGTCCACTCAACAGATCAAACCACATTTCTTTCCAGAACTACAGACACAAGACCACAGCAGGTTTCGGTTTGACTCACAAACAGAGCTGCTCGAGTGTTACATGCATTCCAGTGAATTACATTCAATTCTTTTGTGTTCGACAGAAGCACGAACATCACGGGTTTGAAATTACTTGAGGGTGAGTAAATGATTACAGAATTTAAATTTTTGGGTGAACTACCTTTAATTTTATTCATTTAATTTTATTAGTGCAATGTAATGTTTAATTTTCACAATACTTCTCACTTTTGTGACCATGAATTGTTTTGGAAAACCATTTTTCAGTGTTACCTCAGCTCAACAATGAAGTCATTTAAACTCCAGACTAATATTTCAAGTGTTAATATGGACATTTGTGTAATAAATGTTGGGGCCCCTGTCACTCTGTCTAGGTTTGTTTTGTTATAACTGGTTGACTGTAGATTATCCCTCATTGCATTGGTTATATATTGGTTTATGTATTACTTTGTAAATATCACCCTGCTGTCTGGTATGAGAGTATGGTTAGTCGGTGTGAGGGTTTGATCTTCTCTGCTGTTCCTCTTTTCTGGGTCTGATGTCATATACCAGCACAACAACAGTAGCCACGCCCACCAGAGCAGAGATGACCAATCGGATCACAGCTTCAGTAAGACCACAGCAGTGGGCACATTCTGAAGGAACGCAAGAACAACAAAGAAATGGAATTTTGCATTTCAGTAAACACTAATACTGATCGCAGTAGCAAATATAATACTGGGTATGTAAGAAGAAAATGCAACTACTTATTTGTTTTAGTCAGTGAAATTATCGTATAAACAACAAAAAAGGACAACAAGAAAATATAATGTATGTGATCAAAAATCAGCTCATTCAATCATTAATATCACTTCTGATATACCTGAACATGCTGGACAGAGTTGAGTGTTGTTGAGATGTGTGGTCTGGTTGGTGAATGAATAAGCCACAACACAGCTGTAGGAATCATCCAGACACTCAACCTCCAGAGGTAGAGAGAGACTGATGCTGAGATCAGACACACTGATGCTGGACAATAAACTGTTTCCTTTGTACCAGGAGAGAGTCACATGACTCACATTCACCACTGAACACACCAATGAACAATATGATGATGAAGGATTTTGCGAAGTGTTACTGGTGATGACAGGAGCAGGCAGACGAGCTGGAAAACATGAGAGAATAAATGCTGTTTAATTGTTTTCTTGTGGTTGGCCATTTGCAATAGCGTCTTATGTCTTTTGCATGTATCTGGTGCATGAAATGGCATTCTGAAAATGCAGCGCTCAAGTTAACGTAAGTTCAACTTTTAAACGTGACATGAGACTTGTGTGAGAATGAGAATTTTCCTCATTCCACTGCCCACATCTCAGGCAAAAATGTAAAATAAAAACACATTTTATGGGGGGGGCTTGACAGCACCTGATCATTGTATGCTTTTGTTATATGAAAAAGAGCAGCATGAACATTGTGCAAAACATCTAATTTGTTAGAACATCTAATTAATACAATTACGATAGAATAGAAATTGATTATATTTGAGGCTGAATAAACAGTTGTCCACACATTTTTTTTATTGCCACATAATTTTGATAATGTAGTGGACACTGTAGTTGTTTACTCACCATATACAGTAACACTGAATCTATATATGATCTTTGTCCTGACTTGATAACGTCCAGCATGTTTAGTTGTGGTGTTTGTGATGGTCAGAGATCCAGTTTGATGATCCAGCTTCAGTCTGTCTCTGAATCTCCCATCAGGAACATCAAATGTAAAGAAGCTTTCTGTCCCACTGTTGATTGTAGCAATGGGAGTCTTTTCATCTTCAAACTGCCACATTATTACATCATCTGTCTGTAGTTCAGTTTCAGTCTGTAGAGTGACTGAATCTCCTTCCATCACTGTCACTGTCTTCACTGCATCAACACCAAACACTAAAGTACAGAGAAGGTTTCTCAGTCTTACAATTAAGCTCTTATTGAAGTACAAATTAATCCTAATGTTTTTAGAAATACCTATTTGGCTTTACTCAGATTTTGAACATGGCAGTAAAGTAAGTTATTGAAAAATTATCTTTTTAATTTAAAAAAGAAAGAAACATTATTAAAATTCAAAATCCACTTTATCAAACTTGCTAATGAGCTTTCAGTAATATGAGTTTCATTGTCACACAATCATAGTTTCAACACAAGAGATTACTGTGCAAAACATAACTTTTTTTTGATAATTTATATTCTGCTGCATATTCTGCATTCATACGTTAAAGGGGTCATATGATGCTATTTCAAGTTTTCCTTTCTCTTTGGAGTGTTACAAGCTCTTGGTGCATAAAGAAGATCTGTTAAGTTGCAAAGACTAAAGTCTCAAATCCAAATCCAAAGAGATATTCTTTATAAAAGTTAAGAGTCAGCCACGCCTAGACGGCGTGGTTTCAGGAACAGTAGTAATGTTGATGCAGCCAAGTCAGGGAGACGCTGTGTTTCAGTGCGAAAGCAAAAGCCCTTTATTTGGCCTTCCGGAAGTAGATGCAATTTCTTAACCGCGGCTTGTGTACTGCATCATCACTGTGTCTGTCACGCGACTCTGTTGCCCTTCCGGGCTTGAACTGATGGTAAAACTAACGACACTATTAACTTGATATTTACTTTGAAAGCTAACGCTCGCGATTTTAAAATAGCATCATATGACCCCTTTAAGCTTAACTAGGCAGAAAAGTCTTTGTTGTATTTTTAACATTGCATTCTTACAACAAATGCACTAAATATGTTGTTAATGTGAGATCACAAACCTGCATCCAGACTAGGTTTCACAGTGATGTATATCTGCCAGAATTAAAACTATAAAAACATATGTATCACTTACCAGCCAGGCGCCAAAAGCACAAACAGCAAAAAACAAATGAGTGAAGCATTTCCTGAACTAGTTTCAATCAAGATGTTTGCAAAGATGATCCAAGTGTGTTGTGGTTTGTAGGAAATTCCTGCAGAGGCACACTAGGGTAATACTACTCCAGATTGAAGGTAGTGTGAGTCTGAGAGAGAGCGTGTGTGTGTGTGTGTGTAAGTGAGAGAGAGAGAGAGAGAGAGAGAGAGAGACAGAGATAAAGATAAAGATAAAGATAAAGATAAAGACAGAGATGGGGGTTGGTTTCACACCTTTCAATCTACAAATGTTATTTAAGACAGTGACAGCTGGTTATTAAAAAACAAACAAATATAAACTTACTACAGTTTTGTCATTGTGTTTTGAATAGTTTCATATCATGATTTTATATGTTAGCAGATGCACACAAGCCACAGCCATCAAATAACAGGTCAAACCACATCTCTTTATAGATAAATAACTCAAGAGACCGAGCTGGTAACATTCTGAGTGTAGCCGGGTAAGGTATAGCCCAGGTATGATTGGCTGATGTCATGCCAGCCTGTGAACCTATCAGTGTCCCTACTCCTTTTTGATTGGTTAACATGGTTTAAATCCTATGAACCTATCCAGTGTTGGCATTGATAATATAAAAAGGGAAGGGTTTGATTACTCAGGATGCATCATCCTTGGTACTAGACCTTTGTGGAAGGACCTCATTATGAACAAAGGATAGGGCTTGGTGCATCCTCCTGTTGTTGTGTTTTAGCAGTTAAACCTTTTACAGCATGCTAGTGGCCATGGTCTTGTGTGGTGAGCTACCATGCATTTTGCTACATGGTAAATCTCTCTTGCAGGCGTAACCAATAGTATCCAGCTGCAGACCCACAGCACAGCAGTTTCAGAACCACAGCCACAGAACCGGAAGTGAGG